AATTTTGTAAAAAAATTTAAACTCTTGAAAATCCGCGAATTTTTTTTTTAAAATCCGCAAGAACATGTTCACAATTTAAATAGAACATGGGCGCCCTAAAAGCCTAGTATAAAAAAAAATCCATTTGAAGCTGATGCTCAGGCTTAATCTACTGTTTTTAGAGACATGTCCTTCCTTCATTTTTCACAAGATCTGCACCGGACTATTCAAGTAAATGTACAATTATCTAACGTTTTCTAAGATCTAAAATGTTCCTTAAATTTGTTACTCGGCAGTATAATTCTATTATGTTTTTACACAAAATCTGTCAATAAAATATCCAAGCTTTTCCCTACAAATTCCTTAAGATTATTCAAGGGAAATTGGAAAAGTTTCTGCACCAAAAAAAACCGAACATGAAACCTAATCTGTTGAAAAATGTAAAAAGTACAACTATCAAACGTCCATTTTTGTCCATTAAATGTTTCTGTTTGCATTTTTACAATTTTTAATTTTCAATTTAGTATAAAATGAATTAATGGATATCAAATTCACAGAAATATTACAGAGCTAGAATTAAAATATTACAAAATTATGGATCGATCGCCAGTTGCATTTTTTTCCCTAAGCAATTCTACGTCACACTTTTCATTGTTATAAGAATTTTTTTTACGTTATTTACTAGCAGAAATCGGAATTCATCATTCGAGTGACATAAAATCTTTATCCCATGAACTGCATAAAATCTCGATCCTATGAACTGCATAAATATCTTATACATTTTGTTGCATAATTTTTTTTTTTTTTTAATGACGTCATATTTGATACCTCTAAAATCCCCGAAGTTCAAAGTTCCGAGCCCCCGCGAAGTGTCTGTCAGCTGATTTTTTTTTCAGAAGTGACGAGAATTTGTTTATTATTTTCTTAACTGGAGATTTGTTTACATTTTGCCTTATTTCAACAGGGGTAAATCATTTTTTATCTTTGATAAAAATCAAGACTTTTATTTTCATGATGTAATACACAAAATTGCATTTATTTACCATTTTTGTTTCTATTTATTTGTTAAATTTTTCGCCCGAGTTGAAACAACATACTAAATGTTTATTTATCTCGACATATATATGTATATGTACGTATATATATATATATATATATATATAAAGCTACTTTCAAAACATGCACCTTGTCATATCCCCTCTCAGACATTTCATATTTTTCTTTCACTTAAAAAATCAAATTAGAATATTTGAAAACAGAGGTTTAAAAATCCATTCTTAAAGGGACTGTAAACGTAAGTTCAAGAGAGCTTCCAAGCAAAGATTGGAATGCTTGAACTACAACGGTCCCCTTAAAACCTTAATATGATCAAAAATGTGGAAGCTATTCTAGTTTTTTACTCGAAAAGTGTTTATTTCTGTGAATTTTCAATTGTTACTAATAAGCAAGAAATGCACAACCCACCATTACTTAGCGAGCTTAGCAATGCTTTGCAACACTAAAAAATTATTTACTACATAAAACAAACTGTTACGTTATTAACCAACCAGTTTCCTTCCCTTTCACAATGAAAACTATTCTTTTCTTTTATAATTTCCCTTGTAGGTTGCAGTTGTATAGAATATATATTGTAGTATTGGTATAATAAGATACCAATCCTCAATTATGAGTTATGTTGTCGAGAAAGCCAGAAAACCAGTTCTCACGCAATCTTGATGTTTACCAACAAACCATACACAAACATTAATCAACTATTAGAAACTAAGTATTCCTGGCATGATCAGTCTTATATACATAGAAACATTATCACAACAAAATAAACCACAAGAAAATCAACAGAAAACTTGTAAAAGAAGCAACAAATACAGTCATAGCAAGAAACTTTTCATTATCAATATTATAATACAAACAAATATTAACACAACAAAACAAACCTCAAAAAAGTCCAGAAAAATATATGATCGATGAAAACCTTAAAAAAAATACATTCTAGAAAAAACAAAAACAAAAAACTTTTTATGAACAGTGTTAAAATATTTACAAATTGTATCACAACAAAACAAACCACTATGAAACTAAGAAGAAGTAGATTCATCTGTAAAAAAAGCTAAATAAATTAATACATTAAAAAAAACTTCTCATAATCACAAAAATAATCATAACAAAGCACACCACAAGTATACCAAGAAACAAATATAAGCACACAAGTAAAAATAAAAAAAATTCTGACTCCAGCAGCCTAATTGAGATTTATAACTATGAATTCTGTTAGATCAAAAGATCAAAGTTTGCTAAATATAAAAGGTTACAACATCAGGTTGCAAACATAAAGTTTCAGTTTGGGACAAGTTATCGGTTCCTTCTAAAGAAACTTCATCTGATCTAAAATGTTGAAGATAATTTCACGTTCTTATGACTCAAAAAGTGTTTATTTATGATAATTTCTCCATTGTTTCCCATTGAGGGGCACTTGAAATTACGCTAATTGTTCCTTTATGGGGAAAAATATCATCATGCTTAAAAATAAAAAATCAAGGAAACTTCTAATCAATAAAGAATTCCATTAAAATAAAACAGGGATCAATACAAGTTACACTACAGAGCGAGGAGGTTTTGTGTTTGGTATATCCGGCTGACTACAGTTTCAGTAGAAGTAAATATTTCCATTAATTGTTAGCGCCGATTGAAGGATTCTAAACTCTAATTGGATAATAAGATGGATAGAAAGATAGATGTTACCGCCATACTATTTCTATTGGTTCAAAATAGACAACAAAAACATGACTGAACCCTGGTTGGATCAGGCGCTAATGGACTCGGCAAACAGGAATGGGCTGAGCATAACTTTAAAGATGTCTCAATTCCTGTAAACCTAAAATCTTAAATATTCCAATTATAAATTCTTACCTATTAACATGACGCGCGATATCAAGGCTTAGCCGGAGATCGTATTCAAAAGTTCCAAGCAAGGATTAATATGAGCCTGGAAGAATTGGAGAAGTCGTTGAACTACCCCCCCCCCCTCTATTTCCTTGTTGTGAAACAAATCTGTAACAATTGATACACTTTAAGAATGCCCTTGGACTCTACTTTAATAATCTGCAAAAAATTGCAAATTGGCAGACTTTCAAATATTTATCGCAATTTCAAGTTAATAAGCAAAAAATGTGGGAAAAAATGTGGAAATGTGATAAATTGAACATTTTTAAAAATCCCTTACAACAGCGAATTAAAGTATGCAAAAAACTATGCAAAATTTCTTTGCAAAAGTTGTGTAATCATGCTTCTTCTGTTTAAAGCTTTCCAAAGAGCTATAAAAAGTCAAAATCCAATGACCGAAAGTAGGTCCAAATATAGATTTAGTCGGGTAAAGGTAAAAATAAGGCATTTAGGCAGTGTGCTCAGCAACCCAGCTCAATTATTCATTAAATTCGGTTTAGAAAAAAAATATATTTTACTTGTATTATTTTCCCTGTACCATTTTCTTGCTAAAAAATCATTTTACAAATTTATTTCTTATCTTATTTATAGATATTATTATGTGTATAATAATAATGTAATAATTACTAAAACACAGCCAGAGCTTTTTAATTTATCAATACAAAATATTTTGTATAGATTTTTTAAGATATGTTATATCGATTTACGATATTTTATATTGATTTAAGATATATTTTGTATCGATTTAAGGTATTTATATCGATTCAATATATTTTTTTATTGATTCAAGATATTTTGTATCAATACAATATACTTTATATCGATTCAAGATACTTTATATCGATTCAAGATACTTTATATCGATTTAAGATATTTTAAATTGATTTAAGATATTTTAAATTGATTCAAGATATTTTAAATTGATTCAAGATATTGAGGGAGGGGAAGGGTTTATTAAGCTAAATTAAATGCCCATTTATCAAGCTAAAAGAAATATAATTGTAGTTATCAAATTATAATTCGGTTTAATTAGAATGATTTTGCTTAAAAAATCCTAAAAATGATAATAATGGTAATAGTCATCAAAGAAGTTTACAACTTTAAATTTTTTGTTGCAAATATTGATTTGAAACAAAAAAAAAATGAAAAGAGGTGGAAAGCGTAAATGTTAGTTAAACACTATAACTGTGAATTGTTTTTAGACAGTATAAAAAAATGAAATACTAATTCTGTTACAAAAATCCTAACATTTCGTCAGAAAATTGATCTTGGCGAAATTATTTCGATCGATATGACAAACATTTAGGACATAAAAACGGTCAGATAGCCCTATAATTCTGTTCCTCATTTGAAAATGTATTTGGTAGTTTTATACACGAATTTTTTTTCTCTCAAGTCTATGTAGAATATAGATTATGATGTCTAATCGTACACTGAGGCCCTTACAACTTTGGATTAGAAAGACGACTGATAGAACCAACTGTGATTTTAAATAGTCCAGTGAACATACAACACTGTGTTACAGCAATGACTAATTTCACTTAACAAGTCAAGCGAAACTATTTGCTTTCTAACAATTTCAAATACACAAAAGATTGCTTAAATGTCGTCTTCTATTCTACAGTTTAAGGGGCCTCACTGTATGTTAATTTTACGATACAGGTTTATACCCAACATAAAGGTTAAGTTTTAAGGGGATGTATTCGTAATTTCAAGTCACCCTCCATACAAAGATGGCAATGCCATATTCACAACGGTAACCGTGAAACGTTTATCTAAACAATATTGTGGAAGATATTGTCGCAATTCTGAGTTTGATAGAGTTTGTTTCTGATAATTCAAATAAGTTTTTCTGCAGTAGAAATGCGCAATAGTCACTTTTGTAGAGAAACAATAAGTTTATAAAATTTCACACATTGATGTCAAACTCATGCTTAGACAAAGCATTTCCGGGTACTGTTGTAAATCTGACATTGCAATCCTTTAATGGTAGGTCACCTGAAATTACACGTACAGTCCCTTTAAATTCAAATTTTTTACTCTAATTTATGAATTGATTGATTGGTTGAGTGATTAATTGATTGGCTGACTGATGTATTGGATTGATTGATTGAGAAAAAGCAGGAACATCAGACAGAGGACTCGTAGATGAAGAAGGCCTTCACCTTCTTGTTGTCCTCAACCCAGTCCAGGGTCTGGATGTCCACGTCTCCAAAGGCCGCGGCGTGCTGCAATAAAAAAAAGAAAATATTTACAGACGAATCTGATTAATTACCTCCCTCACCCATCAACTATAAACCATCGGGAAATGCGTTTAGTTTCTTTAATTTGAATTCAAGAATCTTATAATTTTATAGAGTTATCTTTTCAGACTTTTTCAAAGTCACAGCTTGTTGGAACAAGGACTAAGCACAAGTTTTTATTTTCTAACCCTAGTATATTTTGTTTTATGACGATATAACCCTTGGATATTTCATACAACACCTTCAGATGATGTATCAGAGTTCATAGTTAAAATTTTCAAAGGTCTACGACTTCAGGTTGCTAAGGTTTGATGATTTAAAGGGAGTGCATGACCGGCAATGTATGGTAGTTGAACTGAGAATGTAGTATTGTGGCGAAATTCTTTAGGATTCATTTGCCACATATAAAACGTTATAATAATGCATATTGTATAATTACTGAGTTTGAGCGCAAAGTCTACTTTAAACATCATCCATTTGGGCGGTTACGTTATGAAAATCGATTTTTTTAGATTATTAGATAACGACAACAAAAAAAGTAACAAAAATTCTACAGTAAACTAAGTAGTTGTTTGGGAACAGCTTGAGAAAATAAAAATTAACTTTTATCATCAAAAATAAGTAATCTCATTCAGTTATTAGTTTCTGCAATCTCTCATTGTTCACAAACATTTTCTGTAGATTTTCTTGAATTTTTTATTGAAAAGACGACATTTGAAGAATTTGTAGAAATCTGCGAACAAATTGGTAAAGAATAATTGAAATTCAATATAATGATTAAAAAGAAATAATTGATTCTAACATTGATTTATTGACAAATTTCTATTGAGAAATATGTTCCTAAACATCTATTTAGTTAACTATAGAATTTTTGATACATTTAATGAATTCATTTAAGGCTATCGATATGAATCGACATGCCACTTGATATCTTGCCCACATTCACTTTTATTCTATTATTTCATAGATAAGGAAAGGCTCGAAAGCTAGCTCAGTACATGCTCTACATATATAAATATATGTGAAAAAAGAAGGAAAATATCAATTATCAAAATTCTTTATAAATAGATTGCAGTTTTTTCCAGAAATATTTGAATTTCAAATTTTTTTAATAGAATTCTTTTCTTCAATAGTGTTCCCTATATTTTTTTTTTTGCCAAGTGATTTATGATCTAAAGCGGTTTAAACGGATTTAGTGCCGTAAACACATGAATGTTAAAAATACAAATGTTAAAGATTGAAAAGTGTAAAACAGATTCATTGACGTACGACTACATATTGTTATCTGCCTTATGAGCTTGTTTTCATGTGACCCTCCATGCAAAGATGACAATGCCTGATTCACAACGGTACCCTTGAAACCTTTATCTGATCAATAATGTGGAAAGTAATTTCGATTTTCTACCTTAAAAAGTTTTTTATTGAAAAGATTTTTCCTTCGGTAATGGCAAGGTATTAATGCAAGAAAAGTTAATTGCACTTGCGTATACTCTACGTACATATTGAAACCAGTTCTCTCTGGGCGGAATTTGTAAACAAGAATCGATACATCAGTGTTCGTTTAGTATTCGAAGAGGATAAAAACATGTAATTTTTGATAATTTTGCAAATTCACATAATAGTTTCCTATGACCAGAATTTGTTCATAGGTTATTTTGTGAAAATGGATTCCATGTCAGACTTCGACATCCGTCTTGTGTTTACTTTTCCGCCCAAAGACAGTACACTGCAGTACAAAAATGCGTACACCTCTGAAATAACTTTCCTTGCATTAGTACCTTGGGTATAGGAATGCGCATTGCGCAAGTCGCTTTTGTAGAAATTGAAAATAATCAGTTGACAAATATGATAAACATTGATTTCTAATTCATACTTGATCAGACAAAGCTTTAAAGAGTACCATTGGGAATTGGGAATTACCATCTTTGAACTTAAAAATATCCTTACAGCCCCTTTAAAGGAGATGTTCACCATTTTAAAAATACATCATACAAAACAATATTTTAGAATATCTTCAAATTTTTAAAAAAATATTAAAGATAGTTAAAAATCCCTGTTTAATGTTTTTATGTAAGTTTTTGAACATTTATTAACATGATATTTTTGGGCATGGTTTTACGGTCTTTAAGATGTTTATTAACGAGCTATATTTCCATTCAAAAGCCGTTCGTTTTTCATTCGCTAATTCATGATCAATCTAGTTTCTCAAATAATAATTCTAAACGCGCTAGTTATTTTTTTTCGAGCGATGTGGTCATCAATGGAAAATACCGCTCTCTCGTTATTTGAAAAAAAAACCGTTTTCGGCAACTAACAACCAGGAATATTCTATCCTCCCATGTCTAACCATCATTAACATAATTTCTGTATTTATCAAAAATAAAACATGAATAAAAAACCGGTGATTTATGAATAATTAATCTGTTAACTATACAATACAAATATAATTATCGTAATTAACTTCTTTCTTTCAAAAAAGAAAAATCAAGGTGTCCCCAACACACTAAGCCTGAGCAGGCGTTAGGTTTGAAAAAAGTGTAATGCCTTTTAAACCATAATTAATTGAAAATATCTGATGATTGAGAAAAAAATATTTTTAAAAATCCAAAAAGATTGCATATTTACGTAGATTTTCTCTTTTTTAAAAATTCTAATGAAATTTAGCATTTTGTTTTAAAACCTTAGGTTAATTAAAGTAAACCCATGAAATTTAGGTTCTGTAGTCCAACCTAGCAATGTATGGGGATCTACTTAAGCACGTTTTTATGAAATTGCGGATTTTCAAGGTAATACAAAAGGCTCTTTAATTTTAAAGACTTAATACCTATATGCTCCTATTCAAACCTAAAGCCATCTCAGGCTAAGTGTGCCAAAAGAAATGACATATAAATTGTCATCTCTGAAGCCAGACCACAATTTGAAAATCCCAAGACGAGGATTTTATATGTTTATCAGGGTGTACAGTGCAGTAGGTCGATTTTTCTCTTTTTCTCCCTTTTTTGTCAAAATAAATGTATATCAAAAGATCAGTCTTAAAACACGGAATTCAGAAAAGTTGAATGTCCTAGTCATAAAAGATATTCAAGACAAGAAATTGGTTTTTGCATTCAATATTGAGTTCTATAAAAACTATTTATTTGGAAATTTTAAAAAACAATTTAACGAATTTTAAAAAAAATGTGGACTTTATTCAGCGGCTTGGTTCAGATACATCTTTTAATACCCTCATTGATATATTTTGAATAATGTTTATTGGAACACCATTCATGATAGAATAATTACTTATTATTGATCTAAATTGACTATTTTTTTACTCACCTTTGAGTTTTTAAACTTATTTAGATTATTTTTGAGTTGCTCCAAATCATCCGCAATACTCATTCCAATATCCATATTGTTCTTTTCTGTAAAAATATCGTAATTAATAATTTTTCCAAATTATATTTTAAAATTTTTTTTACCTGCAGTCTCACTTAGTTTCTTGAGTGTATCTGCAAGCTTTAGCTGGGCCTATACAAACATAAACAATATAAATTTAATCTAAGATTATTATCTACTAGCAAAAAAATTGAAAAAAAATTATCGAATTTTTTTAGCCTATAACACCCCCCGGCCACCCATGAGTGTACACAAAAAAATTCAGCCCATTCGGTCCAGCCGTTTGGACTGCTATAGGCAACATATATATATATTCGAATGTCTTGTTTTATTATATAGATAAATTAGACATTTCTCATCAAATAATCCTTTCCATCACCCCCCTCACGGTAAACTAGATGTCCTGGTAGTCCAGTGTCAGAATTTAATGAATTTGAGCCGTGGCTTGAATCTTCCAAAAACCGGTTTCAACTGAGCGCCGGCTTAAATCTTACAAAATTAAATACAATTTTAAGTGGAACCAACTATATTTGATCCGTGGCTTAAATTTAAACCGCGGCTCAAATTTAAGCCGCGGCTTAAATTCTTTAATTTCGGCCTCAGGTAGTCTTAATTTTATTACCCATTTTTATATTTGCTATTTTATACTTTTTGTTGGATTGTTTGATTTAGAAATTTGAGTATAACCTGTCCTACGTTATTTTTGAAGGATTTTGAGTGAAAGATCAAAATAGGACTTAAATATTCCGTTTAGACGCGATGCACTTCGTTGTAGTTGGCCTTCCCACCTTTTCTTTTTGAAGCACCCCACCCATTTTCGCATTTAATAAGACCCCGCCTTCCCCTTCATCCCCCCCCACCATTGTGTTAACCACCTGATTAGAAATTGGAATACTTGTGAAAGTTATTCAGAAACTACAGTGCACCAGAACTTGGAAACTTGATTGAAATATGGATAGATTAATAACAATACAGACAGAGCACTAGATGCACACTAAGAATTTCATATTTTAATATAACAAAATTTGCTGGAGCATCGGCCTCAAATTTACCTCAGCAGAATCATTCAACAAAATTTGACGAATGATTCTGCTAAGTTGAATTTGATGATGCCGGTTCTCCAACAATTTTTGTTAGATGTCGTCTTTTCAAGATTTATGTGGTTTTCGTTCACAATAACCCAAAGGAATTATGCGCATGCTCTCTTTCTGTCTTGTCATTTAACGCGGCATATGCGTAACTCCTAATGAAAAACTCCTAAATCTTGAAAAGACGACATCTAGTGTTCCATCTGTATTGTTATTAATCTATGGAAATATTGAATAATTCTTGCAGATGAAAACTTTTAACAACTAACGAGGCAGATGATGAATACGGAGGGTGGGGAAGGACAGAAAATGAGGGGGGGGGGGAGATGGAAAACAAATCATTTATAAAATAACAAAAATGGATAAAAGATTAAAAAATAACGAAAAAAAGATGAATAACAGTTGGGAATCGGACATACCATACAAATAGATTCAGCCTGAGCTGAAAACTTTAGAATGAAATATCCTTAATCCCGATCAGTTAATTATTCTGGAGATTAATAACAAGAGGAAAACAAGCATTATGATTTAAAAAAGAGGGGATCAAGCATTAATCTCGATATCCACCATTCTAAAGTTTTATAGCTCAGATTATAAAAAGTCTCATTAATTTTTATGACAGACTCTACTTGGACGCTCTAACACTGGCTTATTCTTTACATGTACATGTTGGTACTATAAAGCACTTGTTGTTATGCTTTGGTTTTTGAAATGTAATTGGCAAAATTCTCATCGATTTAATTGCTTGAGAGCTTAATTGCAACCTTTAAATCACAGGACCCTGCAAAAAGGGTAAAACCATATAAGGGGATATAAAATTATATGAGGGGTATATAAAATGATATAAGGGATATAAAATGATATAAAGGGGATATAAAATGATATAAGGGGATATAAAATGATGCAAGGAGATATAAAATTATATAATGGGATATAAATGATCTAAGGGGATATAAAATTATATAGGGGAATATAAAAGCATATAAAGGGATATAAAATGATATAAGGGGATAAAAAAATTATGTAAGGGGATATAAAACGATATAAGGGGATATAAATGATATAAGGGGATATAAAATTATATAAGGGGATATAAAACGATATATGGGGATATAAAATGATATAAGGGGATAGAAAACGATATAAGGGGATATAAAACGATATAAGGGGATATAAATGATATAAGGGGATATAAAATTATATAAGGGGATATAAAACGATATAAGGGGATATAAAATGATATAAGGGGATAGAAAACGATATAAGGGGATATAAAATGATATAAGGGGATAGAAAATGATACAAGGAGATATAAAATGATATAAGGGGATATAAAATGATGTAAGGGGATATAAAATGATGTAAGGGGATATAAAATGATATAATGGAATATAAAATGATATAAGGGGATATAAAATGATATAAGGGGACACAAATTATAAAATTTCGGAAACGAAAAGTTTCGAAAAAAGAGAAAACAACTTGAAAAATATTTTACCTGAATGTTAGCTCTGAGCTCCTGCATTTTCCTCCAGCTCTCCGTGTACTGCCGTCTTGATAATTCACAATTTGAAAAATTTGAATGAAAAAAAATTCTTTCAAAAGAATTGAGGCTTCGCCACTCTCATTTTGTAATCCCTATATTATTTCAACCTGCAGTGTCGTCGACCTTAGATATATCTGACTATGAATTCTGTTAGATCAAATAGTTTGAAATATTAAATGTTTGCATCATCAGGTTTCGAAGATATAGGGATAAGAAAAATTTATTTTGTGGCAAAAAGACTAAATTCCTTTCTTTTTTGTTCAAGATTCAAGGACACAACGATTATAGACAGAACATTTATAAGATAAGCCATTTCATAGTAAGGACATTTCAAAGATAGATTATTAACAATTTCAGAATTAAAATCAAATAAAATGGCTTCTGAGAAATAAACACATTTCATTGACAAAGCAATTTCAAAGATCAGACAAATTTCATAGGCAGGACATTTTAAAGATAGCACATATTTTAAAGATATAACATATTTTAAAGATATAACATATTTTAAAGATAGCACATATTTCAAAGATAGCACATATTTCAAAGATATAACATATTTTAAAGATATAACATATTTTAAAGATAGCACATATTTTAAAGATATAACATATTTTAAAGATATAACTTATTTTANGGGGAGAGGGAGGGGGTTTTTCCTATGTTTTGGAATTTCATGATTCCCATTGCGTCAATATTTTATAGGATATTAAATTGGTAATATTATTTCTATTTTAAGAATTGATTGCCAGTTTGATAATTGAAAACTTTCGCAGTTTCTTTAGTTTTGTGCTAAGATATTCAGATACATAACTGACGTTAATAGGAAAAGGGGGGCACTCATCATCAGTTTTGAACTAGTCTCAATAAAGGGGGTTTCACCAGTATTTCAGAGCTAAAAGGATCAAAACGCTGCTTTTTCACTTTTTAGTGCAAACTACTTCCGAATTCAGAAATAAAATAAAAATATTTTAGAGCTTTATTGATGAATGAAGTTGGTGTGGAATGAAGGTGGTATTGAATGAAGTTGGTTTGGAATAAGGGTGATGTGGAATGAGGGTGGTCTGGAATAAAGGTGGTGTGGAATGAGGGTGGTGTTGAATGAGGGTGGTGTGGAATGAGGGTGGTGTGGAATGAGGGTGGTGTTGAATGAAGGTGGTGTGGAATAAGGGTGGTGTGGAATGAGGGCGATGTAGAATGATGGTAGTATAAAGAGGGTTATTTGGAATAAGGGTGGTGTATAATAAGGGTGGTTTGGAATGAGGGTGGTGTGGAATAAGGGTGGTGTGGAATGAGGGTGGTTTGGAATGAGGGTAGCGTGGAATGAGGGTGTTGTGGAATGAGGGTGTTGTGGAATAAGGGTGGTATGTAATGAGGGTAGTCTGGAACGAGGGTGGTGTGGAATGAGTGTGGTGGAGAATGAGGGTGGTGTAGAATGAGTGTGGTGTGAATTGAATGTGTTGTAGAATGAGGGTGTTACTGGTGTGGAATGAGGGTTGTGTGGAATGAGCGTGGTGTGGAATAAGGGTTGTGTTGAATGAGGGTCTTGTAGAATGAGGGTTGTGTGGAATAAGGGTCTTGTAGAATGAGGGTTGTTTGGAATGAGGGTGGTTGGGAATGAGGGTGTTGAAGAATAAATGTATTTCGTGATGACTGACTATTCTATTATCCCATGAAAAGGTTTGCTTGCCTTATTTTCCCGTATATTAATATTATGTCCTTCTTCTAGACACCCTGCTGTGATTTATTATTGGACAAATTAAATTATCCATTCATACATCTTAAAATAATACTGTGCATGTTAATTCTATTTCAACCCTAACACTTGACTCAAAATAAGTCTAAAATTACACAAACCGTAAAAAAAAATATTAATAAGGTTGACCTAATTTTGTATTAATTCTATTTAACCCTCGTTAATGTTCAAATATGCATAGGACAAAACTACTAATTAATTATTAAATGATTAGATCAATAATTAAATAAAAAGGGTTTAGCTTTGTTCAAATTTCTAAACTCGAGATTGTTTATACTTTTTCAAATTTAGTTTAAAAAAGATAAGATGCGACTTGAGGGAAGGTTTCTCAAGTCGTCTTTACTCTACGCGGCAGAAACTTTGTCAGAATAACTATCATATATCGAGTTCGAATTCAGTCGTCAATAAAATAACATGTTTTTTAGACACATTGCCGATACGTCCAAAAATGGGTTCATCTCTAAATAAAAAAAAACTAATGTCATCTTCTATGTCTGATGTTGATTAACCTGACAAGTTCGATGATTGTAGAAGTGAATGCCAGCCCAACAAGAATATATACAGTACATACCAGCATATAGGTCGTCTTTTCTGCTCCGTGCCATGTAAATAAAAATAATAAGAACGTACAAGATTATAAGTGTGACATCATTTTTTTACACATTGTTCTTAAATAGAAAAATGCAATGTTAGATTTATAATTTAAAACTTATTTAATAATGTTATTTGTTTTTAATGGGCGTGTTTGCATACAAAGTGTTCCACGAAACATGGCATTAGCACGACGAATTGAAGGTCGTCTTTGCTCCTGAAATAATTTGTGGCATTTAAACGTAAACCTAATGTTAGAAGTAAAATTAGAAAATACCACTAGTCTTGGCATTTCCAAAATGTGGTCTGCCTTTTTAATGCTTTCAATATTACCGGAGATTAAGAACTTTGTTCAGATTTCGACAATTTTAATTGTGTTTGATAAAATTAAAATCTGAACAAAATTCTTAATTTCTCTGGTAATACTGACAGCACAAAAAAAGGCTGACCACAATTAGAAAATGCCAAAACTAAGATAATGTTGTGGTTATTGTTTCTAGAAACATATATGTGAAAGAAGGTTAATGACTAAATAACACAAATAAATTAAAAGTTCGAAGACGACTTTCAAGTGGTTTTGCCACTGTCATGTTTTTCGTGGGACACCCTGTCTCTGCTCCATTTCTTTCGGATTTAATAAACTAAGTAAACAAAGCAAGTTTAATCGCTGTATCGTACTGTCGTACATTAGAACAGTGTTAGAATTCTTATAACGTATACAATTACAAACTCTGATTTCCACATATATACATAAAACAATTTAACTCGCTTACAAGCAGTATCACTGTCGAGGAATTAAAAAAAAATATTTAATAAAATTAATCAAAAATCAAATTGAATCTAAAAAAATAAGTTTTGTCGCAAAAGTTTTTTTTCTGTCTATTTTTAGAAACAATTGATATTCATCCATTTTACAATTATTAATAAATATGTCAAGGCAAGTAATAAAATTAAAAAGTAATTTAGAAATTGTATTAGACTCAATCATGCAATGTGTTTATATAAATCAGGAGCCTACGGAGCTATCAAAGCCGAGGAGGGGAAATTATCCGATAATCATTTTGTTTTAAAACTGAAACTTTTCACTTTTAAATTACTAGGCTTTCAACGTGCTTCGCTGCCTTTTTTTCTATTAACAATTTCAGATTTTAAATGTTTTCGACAATTTTTGTTCTCACATTAAATAAACTAAAAATTTCGCGGATTTACATTAATGAATTTCCAAAAATATTTTTAATCGGCATTTTTCTCCGCAATATTTTGCAATTATATAAAAAACATTCCCTGTTCTTATGTGAGTTTGCAAGAACAATTTGGGGTCAAGAAGTTAGGTCGTTTTGACGTCTATATTTTATATACAAACAAGAAATAGGTTTTGTTTTTGAAATTCATTTACAAATATTTTTGTTACTATGCTCAATTGGAACTTCTTTTCCAGTAACAATTTTTAGCTTTGATATTTTATTGCATATTTTGTGGGGTGGGGTGGAGAGTGTGTGACACCAGTTCTCGTTAGATCACTGAAGTTAAGCACACTTGTCCACAGCCAGTTACTGGATTGGTGTCCAGACTGGTATTCACGGGTTCGATTCCCGTACTCCACACAAACCTGTGGTTTCAAAAACATCTGAAGCCGACATCTGGTTTAGCAGTTATGACCACCTGACGGATGTAGGAGTACAGAGGGGCGGCTGTCAACAACTCTCCCAGCGAAAGGGTGCGTGCTTTCTGCTCAACAAGAAAGAAGCTTCAAGTGGGATTGATCCAAGTGAATGACGATGAAGAGAGGAATGGAAGACAAGCAGGGAGAGTCTATGGTTGCCAGCTATAGGTACCTGGGGGTATCCAATCCGGGCTTACAGATGTTAGGGAGCAATGAGTGTGATGTTTCCTATCAGTACGGCACCCGGGCCTCATTCCAGTATATCAGAAGGATTCCTGCACTCTCAGGCCTAAGAAGAATCTTAGGCAGCTGGAATCTTGTCAACCCTCTTCTCAGAATGAATGAAGCGTGGATGGATGAATGTGCTGCCAGATTACAACCCCTGGTAGATCAATATAAAAACCCAGACAACACCAAACTTTCGCAATAGAAAAAATTCCGAGATTTGATCGTAACAACCCGATCATGTCCTGGGGACAAAAAAATCTCTTTTTAAAAAGATATCTTCTTTGAATATCCTCTTTTCTTTGTAATGTACAACAATTTTCGCAGTACTTCTGTTAAAATTATAGAATTGTTAAAAGTCATTAATGCCAATTTTTTTCAAAAGATCATAACCCTTTTCTGGAATGAGTTATGAGGGGTTGCCACAAAAAAAATGTGAGGGTGATCGGTTCAGCCGTTTTGACGTTTTTTGAATGCGGACCAAACAGACATAGCCAATTTATATACAAATGTTCATGATTACTATGCTCCTGACTTTCATAGCTCCGTATAATCTCTGTTTCAAGCAATTAGCATTTAATAAGTTTAACATTTTGATAAAAAAAGAAAATAAGTTTATTTTCATTTTAACGTTATCATTAAAATTGTTGATAAGATTTAAGCCATGTTTACAAATTAAAATAAAACAGTTCTAGAAATTAATGGGTTTAATCAAAATCAAATCTGCAGTGGGATTCATAAACAGTGGAGTATAAGGTAGATGACTCAAGTTATGCTTTAAAATAGTCCAATAGATAAGTGCGCAGTATGCATAAACAGTGGAGTATAAGGTAGATGACTCAAGTTATGCTTTAAAATAGTCCAATAGATAAGTGCGCAGTATGCATAAACAGTGGAGTATAAGGTAGATGACTCAAGTTATGCTTTAAAATAGTCCAACAGATAAGTGCGCAGTATGCACAAACAAAGGTTTCCAGCGTAAAGGAAAAATCGTTTGGCCAAAATTTCGCATTTTTCGCGACCAATCGCTTCATTTTCGCGAAAAATGTTAAAAATGTTAAAACAAATGCAAAATTAGAGCGAAAAAGTTGCGAAAATTCATTAAAAAAAAACTTAATTTTGAGAATACAAGACTCATTTTCAAAAAGGATTTTATCCGCGAGCCCAATGGAGGGATTAACACAAAATATAAAACAGATTTTCAGACATTTCGAGAAATTTTCGCATTTTCGCGAAAGGCGACCGAAAATTTTCGCATATGTATTTTTATGTGTCGCACTGCATATTTTTCTTCTGTTTTCCTCCTAATTGCACAATGCATGGATTATCATTGTCAGTATTCATACTATGCCGGTGTAAGGGTTATACGTAAAGCAGCATAATTTCAAAACAAGTTTGAGAGCGTAGTGGAATCATCTCTTATTTCGAGGATTTACAAATAAATTTCAAGTTTGTTCTTTTTCAATTGAAAATATGAAAACGCCATAAAACCGCACAAAAAAAGATAAATGATGGTCCATTGTTGACCACTTACAGCGCTATTCAATATTTCAAAAATTAGGTGTGGTCCCAATTCTTATAAAACTTTAAGTGTTTCATTCCATTTTAAAGTTTTAAGTTTCGAATTAAAGCAAAAACAAACACTAAACTTTGTAAACGCATGCAGGCTATTCTAAAAAGAGAGCAGCGCCCCCCTCCCCATTAAAAAAATCTGAATTACAGGACGNCTCCCCATCTGAGGAGCCCTGGTATTGGTAAGATCAGAGATTTGATCGAGAGAAGATTTAGAGAGATTTAGAAATTAAAGGGAGTGTTTAGACCGAACTTTAAGTGAAACTATCTTGAAAGTAGTTATATTCCATCTTCGAGGAAATAGTTTGGGGTTGGTTTGTTGATATTGGATGGGTCAACCTGCTGAACAATCCAGAGATTATTTCAGGGATGCACGAGGATTGGAAGTCTTTAGCTACCACAATTCAAGAGGAGATTCTGAGACGAAACATTTTTTCGAAATGTCTTCAATTACAACTAAAAGATCAATTGTATGCTACAAAAACCAGAGTATATCATTAATTTATTATTAAGATTTTACATAGTTCCAGACTGCATCCATTTTTCACGTCTTGGACGACGGTCAGGTGTCTTTCAAATCACTTTTACTTTTTTGTATTCCCTACATAGACATTTCCATTTAGAAGCTGAAGCTGTAGTTTTTGTAGCCCTACATAGACATTTGCATTTAGGAGCTGAAGCTGTAGTTTTTGTAGCCCTACACAGACATTTGCATTTAGGAGCTGAAGCTGTAGTTTTTGTAGCCCTTCATAGACATTTGCATTCAGGAGCTGAAGCTATAGTTTTTGTAGCCCTACATAGACATTTGCATTTAGTGTTGAAGTTGTAGCTTTTTAGCCCTACATAGCCATTTGCATTTAGAAGCTGAAGCTGTAGTTTTTGTAGCCCTACATAGACATTTGCATTTTGGAGCTGAAGCTGTAGTTTTTGTAGATCTACATAGACATTTGCATTTATTGTTGAAGTTGTAGTTTTTGTAGCCCTACATAGCCATTTGCATTTAGGAGCTGAAGCTGTAGTTTTTCTAGCCCTACATAGACATTTGCATTTAGGAGCTGAAGCTGTAGTTTTAGTAGCCCTACATAGAAATTTGCATTTAGATGCTGATTCTGTAGTTTTTGGAAAAAAAACAATTTCAGCGAAGATCTTGCAACCTTTGGATCACTGTGCGTTGTTAATAGACCATATACCATTTTAACTATAAGAGTCTCTAGGAAATACGTCCACAGTCCCTTTAACTCACGTAACACAAAATTACACCCTGCGGTTCTAGATGCAGTTTGTTGACTGCAGTCCGCAGCAATTGTCTTAAATGCATTTTTAAAAGCAGCTCAGAATAAGAAGGATTTTGGCAAAATCATCCGGCATAATGCAATTCTTTCGGATTTTCCTCGTTCACTTTTTAAAAATTAATCCTTCTTATTCATTGCTAATTGTTAACATATCTGCATAAGCGATTTAAGCACATTATACCAACCCTCACCTTCTCTTGCTAAAAAAGAAAATATTAAAAATAAGTTGGAAAAAAAACATTGTAAAATTTAGCAGAAAACACATGGTAAAAAGTTGTAAAAATACATTTAGTTATGTATGAAGAATCCATTAAACCTATTTAAAACATTGAATTAGATTTCAAACTACCCACTACTGGCTTTTCAATATAAAATATTCTTAACTTTCATGCATTGTAACCCCCCAACATTTGCCAATTTATGTTTAGAAAATTCAACTTACCATCTCCCGAAATACCTGAAATAAAGAAGAGATGAATTATATAAATGATACTGCATTTTCCCGCCACACTGCTGAAGGAAAACGCGGGAATATGCTACAAAAACAAAATGGCGGATAAAAGAAAATGTCGGAGATAAATTGATCTAAATTGTTTGTCTGAGTTAAACCCCGGGATCCCAGGGAATGGAGAAGAGATTTAAATAAATGGCAGATACGATTTATCCTTTATTTAAGCTTATCATGAATCTTCAGGCTGACAAACTTTTATTTCTTTAACAAATAAATATTATTTCCCATGTCCACCTTTCAGCAGGTCTACTTAACAGAGTGAAAAAATTGGTAAACTTTCATTTGGACAACCTTACATCTCGTTAATACGTACATTTGGTCAAAAAAAATTTGTAATAACTACATGTGGTCGATTGACCAATTCGTCAACTGTAACAATTAAAATTTCAATTAAAAATCTGAATTCCCTTAAATAAATACTAGAATTTCCATTAGACAAAAAAGAACTCATTTACACAAACATTGGCGTACAAATTTTGCAAATTGCGCAAGTCTGCACTATTGTCATTATTTTTAAAAATAATTTTCGTAAATCCCCTATTTACCGGATTTAAAAACTGAAGATTAGCAAAATATAAAACTGATTTTGTTTTAAACTCTTTCCTGTAACTTACAATTTATATTTTAGTCTAATCAAGGTTATAATGCAAGGAAAGTTATTTTAGAAGTGTACGCATCTATTATACTGCAGTGTACTGTCTCTGGGCGGTAATGCAAACACAAGACGATGTCACAGCCTGACATGGGATTCATCTTTCACATAAAAAGCAATGAAATATTCTGGTCATAGAAAATTGTCAAAATTTTCAAAATTCAATGTTTTTATCCTCCTCGAATACTAAACGAACACTGATCTATTCTTGTTTACAAATTCCGCCCAGAGAGAACTGGTTTCAATATGTACGCAGAGTATACGCAACTGCAATTGAATTTCATTGCATTATAACCTTGGGTCTGATAAACAGCAATAATAAACAAGTTAAACAAAGTACTATTAAACTTTAACCAATTTAATCTAAAATACGATTCAACTTTTAAACTATTAAAGGGACTGTAAGAATATTTTAAATAACCTTCCATGCTAAGATGGCACTGCAAGATTCACAACGGTACCCTTGAAAACGTTGTCTGATCAAATATGAATTATTTATCAATATTTAAAATTTTGGAACGGGATTATTTTTAAATTGTGGTTTCTATATAAAAGTGAATTGTGCATTTCTACTGCAGAAAAACATATAGTAATTATCAGACTTAAACACTTTTAAACATAAAACCGACAATATCTTCCACATTATTGATAAGATACCGGTTTCAAGGATACTGTTGTGAATCGGGCATTGTCATCTTTTCATCTTTGCCTCAACCCTTGACTAGGTTTATTAAAAGTTATTCTCATGTCTGCTGTGTTTCTAAAATTTGAATAAATTAAAAATAATTAACCATGCTCATATCTATTTCGAATAAGTTCTATACTGCATGTTTATATATACAGGGTTGAAGCTTGTTAAATTAGAACTTTTAACAAGTTTACAGAAGTTACTTCTTCTCTAATTAGAACAACTCAGAACAAGACACTAGGATAGTTGCACTAAATGCAAAGGGAGTTTAGAAATAAAGGACATTTCGTCAAGTTACATTTTAGTCACTCATAAAGGGACAGAAGATGGAAAGAGTGTAAGTAAGTAAGTATGTAATTATTTATTTATGAAAAATAGCAAACATACAAAATTGAGTGTTTCAGGAGAAAATATTTTAAAACCTCCAAAAATAGAGGTTGTGGGAATATTTTCCCCAGTTATAAAAAATAATAAAAATAGAAATCAAAGGAAAAGGAAAGGTAAAGGAAAGGAAAAGAAAGGAAAGGAAAGGAAAGGAAAGGAAAAGGAAAGGAAAGGAAAGGAAAGGAAAAGGAAAGGAAAGGAAAGGAAAAGAAAAGAAAAGGAAAGGAAAAGGAAAGGAAAGAAAAAGAAAGGAAAGGAAAAGAAAGGAAAGGAAAAGAAAGGAAAAGAAAGGAAAGGCAAGGAGAGGAAGAGGAAAGGAAAAGGAAAGGAAAAGAAATAGTTTGAAAATGGCAGGACCACTAGAATTTCCCTAACAGGGGTTGGTTCATTTGGTGTACTGTCCCGTTTTGCCTGGTATAAACTGTATGTGTACTGTCCCGTTTTGCCTGGTATAAACTGTATGTGTACTGTCCCGTTTTGCCTGGTATAATCTGTATGTGTACTGTCCCGTTTTGCCTGGTATAATCTGTATGTGTACTGTCCCGTTTTGCCTGATATAAACTGTATGTGTACTGTCCCGTTTTGCCTGGTATAAACTGTATGTGTACTGTACTGCTCGCTCTAGCTGTTCAGATGTCAACCCGGTTCTTGAATTCAACCGGACTTAACAGAGGTGTACATAGGCACAGCATAGATAGAGGTTCAGTGAACTGAGTACCGAAGGCGAGCTAGGCTAAACTGTACAAGTTTAGAAAAATTGGGGTTGTTTATGCACATAGTCTTAAAAACAGGTAATTTTCCCAATGCTTCCTTTATTTACTTTCTTATTTTTTGTTTAAATTTTAGGAGGGAAATATCTATCTGTATCTCAGATTATTTAGTATTGATGTGTACGCCAGAAAAATGAATACTAAATAAATTATCTAAGTATATGCCAAAATCGAAGTTTAAAACAAACCCCTACAACTCCTGCAATATGTGTACCGCATGAACCCCACTTCCACTTGGAATCTATGTTTAGTGAGAGGAATTGGCTGAGTGCAAGGTTATAATGCAAGGAAAGTTAATTGCAGTTGCGTATACTCTGCGTACATATTGAAACCAGCTCTCTCTGGGCGGAATGTGTAAACAAGAATAGATGCATCAGCGTTCGTTTAGTATCCGAGGAGGTTAAAAGCATTAAATTTTGATAATTTTGAAAATTCACATAATAGCTTCCTAAGACCAACATATTTCATTGATTTTTTATGTGAAAGATGGATCCCATGCCAGGCTTCGACATCCGTCTTGTGTTTGCATTACCGCCCAGAGACAGTGCACTGCAGTACAAAAGATGCGTACACCTCTGAAATAACTTTCCTTGCATTACAACCTTGGCTGAGTGTATGTCTTTGTCGATGGACTAGGGCTATTTTGAGACTATTGTTTCCAAAATAAAATATTGCTAAACTCAGGTTACAAACGTTGTGTGTCGAAAACTGTCACTGGAAATAATAAAAAATCTTACTTGGTGTCATGTCTCCGAATCCTATTGTTGTCATTGTAACGAAACAGAAGTAAAACGCGTCAAAAAACGTCCAATCCTGAAAAATAAATTGTCAGACTTATAAACTTAAAAAAAATAAACTTGAGAATTATATTTTTGCTTTTTGTTTTCTTCTTCTTCATTCGATAAACCATGCACATTGCAAGTAGACATATATCTGTGCAATAAACACAAAGTGAGGCTCTTTTTACATAACCCCCGGGAAGGTTAACAGCCGGTCGAAAATTCAAAAAACCAGCCTGCAAGGTCACAACTTGTGAATCCCGGGATTACGCAGTAATCCGTGTCAACGGATTAGATAGATTCCTCACTGGTAACTTTGATAAAGAGATCAAGCACTTATTATTCCTTATCCTTAAACTGTAAGTCTACTTTCAATTGAGATGGCAATAATAGATTTACAACGTTATCCTTAAAAGCTTTGTCTGATCAATTATGAATTAGATATCCAAATGTTTGTCTCTTTTAACTGAATAATTTTATTTGCGATTTCTCTGCGAAAGTGACTTGCGCATTTCTTGATAATAAAAAGCAACATAGAACTAATTACAGTTAAGGACGCTTTAAGACACGACGATATCTTCCACATTTTAGATTAGTTTAAGGTTTCAAAGGTATCTTTGTAAATCGGGTAATTCTATTTTCTCATGTAGGGTCACGTGACATTACGCTAACAGTACCTTTAACAGTGATACAGTTGATATCGAGATTAAGCATCGTAGATAAATAGAATAAAATATATATTAGAGGGGAATTTACTAGAAAAAAGTGTAAAACGGCCATTTTGTTGTACTGTTTCCATACTGCAGGTTTACTTTTATATTTTTTCTATACAACCTTTTGGGCCCTGGAACATCATTTTATAGAAAATCTAAAATTGATATTAAAAGAAAACCAAATTATGAAATATACTGGTTTCATAATTGACCAATGATCATTTCACCAATGCCTTTCACTTTACAAATGATGATTGTCCGTATAACTATAAATCAAATGATGTTTTTTATTCACTTAATT